GCCTTGGCCTTAGTGATGGAGCGAAAAAGGAATAGAGAAAAAATGAAATTTTTGAAGGAAGAGCTGAAGGAAGAGATGCGCAAGAAAAGGAAACGGGACCTGAAGAAGAAAACTGTGAGGCTACCGGAATTTTCTATCAGTTGCTACTCGACTAATGTGCCGGGGAGGGGGGTGGAAGGGGAGGGGTTGGCCTGTCGCCAATGTTACCCCCTCCCCTTTCCCATTGGTAGGATCGGCATTAGGTGGTGTATAGTACGTAGGTCCACGAGTGTGAACACCATACCGGCGCTGTAAACTGGGACATACTGTTGATTCCGTAAAGGGTGGTGTTATGTAAGGTTCTACGAAGTACTCTTTATTTCAGAAGAAGGCTAAGAAAAAGCAGAAAGCCTTCAAGGTCCAGCAACAGTCAGGGGTACGTCTGAACATTCTCCATTGCTGTTACATTCTATAGAGAGAATTTTCAGGATTTTTTTTCAGATTAAAAAGGCCCTGGAGGATTATCTAGCCGCTCAAACACAAACCATCACGATAGAAGACTCCGAGAGGGTGGTAGAAATGCCGTCAGGAAGTAGATCGCTACCAGCGAAAAGTCCAGCAATATCAGATTCCGCACAGAAAATCTCAGAAAATGACTCCGCACCAGGCTCCTCTCCAACAACACCTGTTCCAAGAAAACTCGGCCAAATGCCTATGGAGAATCCACAGGAGGGTGAAGGCCAATGAGTGATAGAAGGATCACTTTAAACGAAGTAGTTGTGCATTTCAAAAATCATTAACCATTATTTCATTACAAAGCTGAAATTAGTTCTTTATTTCGTGGAAAGCAGTGAAAGTCAATAAAACTGATAGTTCGGAAATTGTGAGGGTATATACCCTCGAAATCTCTGGAATGTGGTAGGCGTGGCTACGTATTTCAAGTAAAGTGACGGTGGCAGTGCTACCATTCACAGAGAACAGAGACAGTTGTCTCAACCTGAAATATCCCACGAGTAACATCAATGCCATGTACAAATGCAGCGCTCTCGTCTCAGATGAGGAGTATAATGAATGTTGTTTATTGGTGTGACGGGAGATGGGATGAGAGCATCATGAGCTGAGGGTTTTTGTCCAGCCATTAATGAACTCTCGTCTCCCCGCAGAGGATGAATACATACAGCCTCCCTTTTTAACGGTTTCGATCTGGTTGTATCTTCTGGGGGCCGTCTAGCCGCTAGGGAATATTTTCGGAAATACAGCCCCTTCCCGTTCCAACGGCTATAGCACTCTCCAGATTTGTTTAATTCCTGGCTTTTTCATTTCTCCCAGATTTTTCCAAATTCCTGCCTTTTCATTTTTCCCAGAATTTCCCAAAAAATTTCTTAATTTGTCCCCAAAGTTTCGAGTGGGTGGAGGTATATATCATGTGAGAACAGGAAAAACTGCGAAAAGTCAACCAGGGAAAATTTTTCCCAACGAAAAGTTTTTTCCCAGCGCAAGCTTCTTTAGGAAAGTGATTACGTCACCCCTCTCCCCAACAGAAGGCAGGTACGACCCCCTCCCTTACAGCGTCCGCGAAACAAGCTAAATCTACTATAAACAAGAACGGCGCAGTTTGTCGACGGGGGGGGGGGCATTTTGCTTTCCATAGATGTGTCGACCCATCTAGGCAGCCGTTTCTCGAGTTGACACGTTTTAGGATAGTGGCTAGACGATCTTACTTCAGCTTCACAAGAGTTCACAAGTTTTACCAGAGTGAGATTTGTAAACCGGAACTAGGGAAGCAATGATAATACAAAATGCCCCTTCGTCGACAAACAGCGCCAACAAGAACTTTCTCAGGGCAAATATGACTCCCTCCCCCATCGACTAAAACGACCCAAACTCTGTTGGGGGAACCCAGCGATGATGTGCCCTGATGATGATATCGACTGACTCAACTGCATCACTGTTCCTGTGGTGAACATTAAGCTCTGCATGGGCGGAGTCGGACACTCGGCGATTATTACCAGCGCCATTCCTGTAGTCTTTTGAGGGTGAGAGGAGAGTGGCACGCCACTCACCTACCGCATGGCAAGCCTTGTTAAGCTGGTGCAACTTATATGATTTCCATGGTAGGAATGTTCCCCAGTAACTTCAGTCGTAGAGAAGCACGAGACGTAAAGTGCCCGCGTTGATAAAGTGCCCGTTTTGATCAGTCATGGGACTCGGACAATTACAACAAGGTAGCAAGTAGTTCATTAGTGAAGAAAAATGCAAAAAAATCATCGGATATGCCTATATAGGACCCCACGCCGAGCTGAGGTTGTACGTGCTTAAGGCGAAGAGAAGGCGCGGCCGCACGAGTTCTCACTTGTTGATATCAGCTGTTTTCCCTTATCACCTCACTCTCACCATTCGAAGTGGAGAGAGTTAGTAGCGGAACAACCGCACCATCAGGCAACCATTAGAAATGAAGTTGGTCGCCAGAAGGGCGGGTGTGGGACTCTTCAGACTCTTTCATCTGATGCTGTGGACGCCACGCGCTACTCTCTTCGCACCTAGTGGCGAAACTAGCCAGCGTCCACCATCCTCATCGGTGAGCTACGATATCCAAAGAGGGTATGGGAACAACAAATGTACGCGGGCGCCGCCTTTAACTATTAGGCGCAGCCTAGAGTTGCTGCTAACATACTGGTGTTTACGCTCGGCTCCACCATCAGAAAGTTGAGGACACGTTCACACCCTTCCTTGCCGGTGACCGACATATATGATTCTATTTTCCGAATGAATATAGGTACGCGAGTCGTGGCTGACGCGCAGTTCCTGCGCGTGGTTTAAACCTTTGTCCGAGCTGATAACTGACAGGATTCCTGTGCTGAGCACTAACACTTACCCTAATTCCTATGTCAAAACGGCCCATTTCATCATGTTTCTCCCTTTTAATGAACATTTGCCGATGTTAGGTTCTTATCATATTTCTTGAATCACCATTTGTTGGAAATCGGACAGCATAGCGGTTGGAAGGATTCCGATATTAAAAATATCGAAATCACAGTGGCTCTTATCATTCCTCACTGGGCAACAACTCCATACATCCTTTTTCGGGGAACTCGAGCGTTTAGCGGTGGAAGCAATTCCGACCGCTAAACTGAGGGATTTTACTGATAGGAAACATCTTGACTTACTAAGCCTTCGCCCATTGATTCTTTGGTTACGGTGATGTGAGCAGATACGGACTCCCAAAAGCCCTTGTAGGACAATGACAGGATTTATCTTCCACCTTTAATGTTCCCTAAGCACCTCTGAATTACTTGCTGGAGCAGTTCCCAGTGTTGCTACAACCCTGCTTTGAATTTTCCTGCTAATCTCATCAGCATGTTATCATTTCCTGCCGGAGGCTGCGCCACATGATGTTCCCACCTGCCCCTGTCTTATCTTAGCATCTTAGAACAAAATGTCTGGCGTTGTCGCGTGGCGGCTGCTATGAATTTTATGACCCTCGCTTTCTAAGACTCCTTTTGCTATCTTATTCGGCTGTTAATCAAACGAATTCCTGCCACCCACCAATTGTTTCCATTCGCTGCCCCCTATCGGTTAGTCTTGGGAGAGCCAAACGTCCCAATCGTCGCTGTGACGCCGCGGTAAGAGATGGCCGATCATCCTCCCTTCTTAGGCCCCTTTATGTTATCTTATGGCAGCTGTTACACATCATTTGGCCCCCGTACCAATTATGTGTTCCTTGCAGCGAATCCCCCTATATCATACTTATGCAATTTTGAGCGCTCTATCGCTCTTTCTGAAGGAAGTTAATGAATTTCGCGGTCAAAATCACATCATATCAGACACACATACATTCAGCACACATTTATCACTTCTAATCTTAGACAAACTTTGTCTGGATTAATATATTATTGGTTATTTGTATCCCGTCGTATCTGTAAAGGGCAAGTGACGGGGGTATTAACTTGGGGAGCCACCAGATCAGAGTTCCCATCAGCTCGGGATGACATCACTGTTGGAAAACGTCTCCGGATACTTTTCAACGCTTCTCTTCCTCTGTCATTCTCCTTCCTCCTTCCTTCTTTTCCTCCCTTCCTTCTCTGCTTGCCTTCTTTTCGCTTCTCACGTTCCGTGCTAGCTGGGCCATGTGGACGCGATAAAGTAAATATCTCTCTGGAACCTCGCAGGCGAGAGGCATGTTGTCGGATTGTACAACAGCCCGCTGTAAGCTACGTGCATACTTTGCGTCTGTGAAGAAATGCAGAAATGCGCAAAATGCAGAAGTGCGGAAAGTGCGGATGTGCGGAATCTGCGAGAGTAGCAGAAAAGCAATAAATACTTATCGACTTGAAGTAAAAGGGGGGGGGGGTGCAGAAATGCCTAAAACTGCAGACCGTGGGAAAGTGCATGAAAGACGAAAAGCATTACATGCGTATCGATCTGGAGAAATTGTCTATTGTTAATATTTCTTCTGTATTTAATTGTCTGTTATATAATTTCGATTATCGTTATTTAATATATGATCTTTGTTCTATTTTCTTTGTTTCTATTCTATTTGTCTATTTTTCTTTATTCTCTGTTTGTCTATCTTGCTATTTTCTTTTTATATCGAAACATTTGTTGGGGCGGCTTGTGTCTTTTTCTCTCTATGTATTGTCTTTTCGTTCATTTCTTTTTGTCTTATCTTTTCTCTGTTTCTATCTTTTTCTGTCATCTCTCTTGTTATTCTATCTTTGCATTCTTCTATCTTTGTAATATCTTGTTTATTTATGTTCTATATTATGTTTTTTTTTTTTATTTTTTTTTTTTGTGCGCTAACCGTTGAAAATAGGGCGGCACCTGGCTGCGCTCGGTCGCACTTTTAGTTTCTGTTTCTCTGTTCTATTTCTGTCTTTTTTTGTTATGTTCTGTTTATGTCTTCATGGGCTACGTCGCCTGTATTTTTGAAATATATTTTTTCTTTTTGTATATATATTGTATCTTTTTTTTCTTCTTTTCTGTTTCTCCATCCCGCCTCCCGGTTTTTCCTCACCATTTTTTTGAGGAGGGTGTACAGTATCCTAGAGTTAAACGGAAAGCCGACAACTTGATGAACGCTGACAGAGCTATCTCTCAAGGCGAAACGCGAGCTTCCTCTCATTGTGAGGCAATGCGATCCTCACAGTGTATCCCTCTCACAACGACTGAGCACGATGTAGTGCTATGAGCCTGTGAGAACAGAAAAATCGGATATCAGGTAATAATTTTTTTTTCCATCAGATTTGAACCAAAATAGCAACCCCCCACCCCCTCTAAAGCGATCGGAATAACGATCCTCCTGCTGGGCGATTATCCATGTATTAGGTTGGCGGGAAAGTTCTGTCACATTTTTTCAAACAAGGCTTTCTTTTTATAGAGAGGCGTACAAGATCAAAATTATACAGCAATGTCATTGCGGAATCCCTGCCAGTTTTCGAGCACTTCGTGGATGCCATCGCTTCACAATGGAGGCTGGCACGACGCAATGTTGGACATCATCTCAACTTTGACTTGGGCTCAAGTCGTGGAGGTTTTCTCGGCTGTATAACGGTTAAATACGGGAGGCGACTAGCAGTCAGAAAGAGCAATGTCTGGGGTACACCAGTGCAGAGGGAGAGCCATCCAGCTCTTTTGCATGAAGTACGGCTCGAACTTTTTTGACGGGGTGTGCTGCACCAGCACGTTGAAGACGGACTGTGCCGATGGATTTTGCCCTCTGCTTGACGATTCGCTTCAGATCTCGTAGCTGCCTTGCGTACGGATTAACCGAGGAGACAGCTTCTTTATACAGTAGTTTCCCGGCCCACAGCTATCTCAAGCTGAGATCACAGGTACTCCCAAACATCACTTCGCCATTCGCACCGTAGCCTCCCGCTCTGAAGAGCCAGCGTCGTGGAAGATTGTCAGATGACTGTAGACATTGTCCATGTGCAGCTCCGTTATTTCGGCGTCGACAGCTGTCATGCTGGCGCCAGGGCGGTAGAAGAAAGAGTTTGAGGAAGCACTTGGAGGGGTCGGTGCCAAAGGTAGCGGATTAACATCTTTCTTATTTATTGCACGATAAGGAGAGGCAGGAGTCAAGCCAGTGATACCAATAGAAAGACCATTCTTTGATGTATAAGTGCTCATATTACCGGTTAACGCTTTTCAGAAAATTAGCAAATATTTTGGGTTCAAAAATATATGAGCAGATTTACTTTCCCGCCAACGACTAATATGGATGTGTCCTTATTGTGCGACTGGTGAACGCGATCTATGTATGAGCAGTGTTAAAAGTTGTCAAAAGGTTGTTTGGTAAGTTTATTTAGCAACAAAATCGCTTTTTTATATACACAAAACCACGTCTTGACACTAGCACGTAATACTCGAAGACCTACTTGTTATGATTTACTAGTAAACGTAATAGAGACAGATATAGATGATATTCAATAGAGCAGAGATAAAAAGCCTTCAAGTTTTTTTACTGAAGGAACGAGTAAAGCATGGAACCAGGTTACCATATGGAATTCAGGGAAGGCATGACTGATATGTAACAATTCGATAGGAAGTAAAGCCACTCTTGTGACTTACATAACACGTAGAGGAAAACATTTCCAAGTTATGTGGTTACGCCAGAAAACTAATGTCTATGGCCACGTCAACACCGGCGATAACAAAGAAGAGAAGTATGACCAGCATGCCTTGTGACTCTTCGCGCATCCGCAGCACTTAGTGAAGTTTCTTGGCCCATTTCAAGTCGTCCTCTCTGGGCTTCATGCCCGTCAAAGCAGTCACTACAGATTCTGCTCTCCTCCAGAAACCTGAAAGGTGACTTGATTACTGATAGGTAAAAGCTAAAACACTACTGCAGAAAAAAAGAATCAAATTCGCTAATCATTACGCTAATGTGGTGTCTTGCGAGAAATCTCTCCAAATTCAACTTTTCAAGAAGTTGAGAGACTGCTGCAGTAATCTGAAAGTTAGGCAGCGTTCAGACTTCGCGACTTCAGCACTGCTGTCGCGCGTTCGACGCGATCGATGCAGTCTGAAGCATGCGCATTGGTAGTCGAATCGACCAGAAGCGCTGGCCGTCGAGAGGTCTGAACTCGGCTGCCTTAATCAGGATCTTTTGTTCAACTCTTGTCAGACCGATACACCGGTGGTCAGAACTGAAAAGGAAACCACGGGAAGGCCTTAGGTAAGATCGTTCTTGTTGCAACTGATTCTGTGCGAGAGGCGAAGCATCGCTGAAATTTTGGGCGAGAGGTCAAAGAAAAACAGACGCTCTACATCTAAGTCGACCAACGCCCAAGAGAAGCCATATGAGCAGCCTCCGCAACACGCTCCGACCTTACAGCTTTGTGACACAAATTTGAAACAAGATTGTCTGCTGCGAACCACACCAGCTCTCATAGCACAGGTTCTGGTTCCCATAAGTAATCGTGGAATGTGCCTTTAACAGCGGCTGATAGCATAGTCCAGGTTTGAATACTGCATAGTGAAGCGCTTAACATTCGTAGTCGTTAAAGGAATGAACCCGCGATTACTCGCCATCTCAGATGGTGGATTAGGGGGTTCCATATAGACGACAAGGGGTTGAGTAACTCGACTGTGAACAAAAAAAGCACAAAACATGCCACCTGCCCTAGATAGAACCCCATTTCGATCCCAGTTTGTACGTGCCCAATCAACTCTATCTCCAAAACTACGCCCTCATATGCACGGCTGATTCACCGATAAGATTTCTACGATCGTACAAGTGGCGATTATCATGCTTTTTCGTCCTGCAATCTCATTTTTCACTGGAATTTCGGTAGGGGCGGAGTCTGGAGGCGGAGTCACTGGAAAAAAGGAGGAGCCACTCGAACCATATTGCCGCTAACTGGCCCCTCCCATAGAATTTTTTTGCCGCGAAACCGGTACAAGGTTGTTCGTCGCGGACCACTCTAACCTCCTGACGCCATATTTTCAACTTCGATACCTGATCGCGGACCGTGCCTTAACAAATGGAGGAGAGGCAATAAATAGATACACCACGTAAGCGCATCACTCAAAAGTTTGTGTCATGCATAGGGTATTAAAATGCGTGCGGACCGTGTGAAACGTTCCTGAGATATGGCAATTACAAGCAGAAAACATTCGCCAGCTTAGCTCCCAATGACACTACACGATGCTTTACCGCAAGTCGAGCACAAGATGATCGCCATAAATTTAGTCCGTCGAGCACAAGACGGCCCACGCTCGGATTTCGAGGATACACGGACTGAGACGTGTAAGAGGGCACGTCATTCCGCCAGAAAAATTTTGCGGAAAATACGAACCTGAATATCTCCCCCCTGATATGACGCCTAACCCAAACCTGATCACTTCCGCTGGATTCCCCAGTTCCTACCGGGCTTTTTTCCACTTTTTCCATCCCCGAGAATTTACTGTCTTTCCGCGAAAATTTCTCTGCGAGAATCGGGAGGGAGGGAGGTGAAGTGATGTCGCAAGCAAACTAACTTAGTAGTCTTCAACATCAGGAATACAGTTTTTTAATCCGCCCTTTTAGCCTTTAAACACGTTGGCGATATTGCGTCCACCTGGACGCGACTTTTTGCCGCGTGGGACATTGCGTCCCACTGCTGGGATGCGGCATGGGTAAAAAACCAATTTGAAGACGTTTCGAATTTTCAACAGCTGCATATTGTCCATGAAGGCATTGTAGAATATACAGTAGCTGTAAACCGTGCAGTTGTGTCATTGAGAGTATTTTACCGAGGAGACAAACGAAAGTGATTTCCTAGGAAAAAAAAAGATCAATTCCTTGTATATATGGAGACTATATCAATTCAGCTCTGGCAGCTCAAGGATCAGCTCGGCATGGAACATCCACAGAAAAGTCAGAACTCTACTAAGAAGCAAGATGACGCCGATGCGGATCAAACGACGTTTCTTCCATATCTGCGTAATGCCTGCACTACTGTACGGATGCGAGACATGGGCACTAACGAAGGCGCATGAAGAACGTCTGCGAAGAACTCAGCGAAGAATGGAGCGACAGATGCTCGGTCTTCGACTCAGCGACAAGGTATCGAATACAGCTATAAGAGTCAGGACACAGCTGAAAGACGTCGTTGCTGAAGCTAGAAAACGCAAATGGATATATGCGAATAAACTGATGACCAGAGATCAAACACGATGGGAAGTTCGATTGTTGAATTGGAAGCCCTCCGGAAATAGAGCAGTCGGAAGGCCACGAATGCGATGGGAAGACGATCTCAAGACGTTTGCTGGAACGGACTGGAAGAACATCGCGACTACACCCGAATGGTTTCAGAGCATGGCCCGTTTCTCTGTATATATCAGATGAGTAGCGGAATAAATTGTATTGTATTGTATTGTAGGACTAAAACCTCCCAACACATTTTTGACAACAGCAAAATTTAAAATCGAATCCAATTTACCACCTCTGGCGCGAAAATATTCCTTTTTGCGACCTTGTTCCCACGCTCCACGTGAATGAGGCGGGAGTATTCCATGAAATTTCAGGGTTTATCTTGAAGTAAACAAGAATAGCGAAGCCTTACTAGCTTCTGCAATGAATTCTGACCATTCTTCAATTTTTTGGCGTATAAACGCCCTAGCATTTATGCGCATTCTTCGAAAATAGGGAAAAACTGCTTTGTCCCACGCGGCAGACACGCGAAATGCGCCAGCGCCTTGTCGCCAATAGGTTGAGTGTTGAACCGCGCTGAATAATCTGAAATGCTTACCGATGTACTCAAGAGGATAATTTAACCATCCGGTAGTGATACAATAGTAACAAGCATGTGGAGCAATATGATGAATCTGGAATTATTAGCATCGAGGAAAGAAGTGAATGATGTTTGTGGTTATTTTATCTTGTCAACATATAGAAGCATGATTAGTATAGTAAGGGGGAACAGCCCGAGTTCGGTAACTGTGACCGACTTCCATCACCCAACTAAAAACTTGAAGTCCCAGTTTATCGCTGCAGGCCGATACGGTAGGCCTTGGCTGGCAACCAATATTTTGTGAGGCGCGGAGCGATGTGAAAAAAGTTGGTGGAAAACGAGTAAGGGGAAACAGCCCAAGTTCCGGTAACTGTGACCGACTTCCATCACCCAACTAAAAACTTGAAGTCCCAGTTTATCGCTGCAGGCCGATACGGTAGTCTTCTGCATACGCTCGTGTGCAGCAAAAAGACTGTACACATTATTCAGCACCAACCCCTCCCTATCTTTAGAGCTGCGTTTGCGTTACTTTGCGTCAGTGTCCACCGTCCACCAGTAACCATCAGCGTTTCTAGCGTCCGTCAGCGTCAGCCCCTAGGAAAGTATAGCGATCAATCTAGCGAACTCCAGCACCTAGCAGTACTGCCAGCGTCCACCAGTGCCCATGACCGTCCGCCCGTGTCCGCCAGCGACCACCAGCGCCTCGAGGGACTAGGAGGGTATGGATGGTAGACCTGGCGCCTATCGGCGTCCATTAGCGATCAGAAGAAGAGAGTTTGGAGAAGTAAGAGGGAAGCAGACTGCTGTTAGAGTTTGGGAAAGTAAGAGGGTAGTAGAATGCTAGTAGAGTATGGGGAAGTAGGAGGAAGCGAACAGCTGGATAAGTCGTCTTAAAACTGCGACGTGTGCAACCACACCGTACTACTACACAATACCGTACGCCTGGTCTCTGGTGGACGCTTGTAGTCGCTGAAGAGCTGGTAAACGACGGATCGATAACCAATTTGTACTAGTCCCTCGAGACGCTGATGGTCGCTGGCGGACGCTGAAGGACGCTTGCAGACGTTTCGTTCGCTAGACTGACATCTATGCGTCGTTGACGCTGACGGACGCTCAAAACGCTAATGGTCGTTGTGGACGCTGCCGCAAAGTATGAACGCAGCCTAACCCCGATGAAATGAGAATGAGCTCCCAGCTCTACGCAAATTCTCTAACGATGAGGTGTCACGCTTAAAATACATTTCTCCGATTTCTAAGGCCAGGAACTAATGCAGCGCTCACCTTATGATGGGATCGTGGCAAGATAATATGTGCTTTCTGCAGTAAAATCACCCATCGGGACAGGTTGAAGTAGGTGTGAGACCACTTGTGAATCTAAAAACGATTTTTATTTGCACCGGTTGGCAGAACTCGGATTCGTAAACCTACTTGATTTGTCATTGCGACATATATGCCAAGGAGTAATATGAACCAGTGGAACGTAGCCCACTGTCGTAGCTCCTCTTGTTCCATGGTGAACTGTTGGTAGACGATATGAGCAAGATTAGGTACGCAAAGCATGAAATTGTCACCATTCACCTGAAATCCGAGACAACATAATTTAGAGCGAGTAACCCTTGGAGAGCTAATCATTCGAAGAATATATTGAACGTCTCATTGCATGACGTAGTGAAAGCAGTCCCTGCGATTTTTGGCGCTTAAATTCCTTTTTTCCTCTATTACTTTGTGATTATGCTGATTTACTCTGTAAGACTGTGAGAAAACATCTACCCTGCGAAAAATTAACTACTCTGAAACGCATTACACGCTCCATGTAACTGCTCGCCTGATTTCGGGCTCATTCCTGTCGCTCGATCGGTCATGGGATTCAGACTGCACAGGAAAGCTGCATAACTGGTTTGGGATAACAACGAAGCGTTTTGCACTGCATCGAATGAACCTACTGCGGTAGGGTGGTTCGAGGAATCCCACACCAAAGGGGATCTCTGTAGAAGGACATTGGGGACTGAGTCGCCGCGTATTTGAGCCCCCCCCCCGTGCTCCTGAACGACAGATACGACCCTATCCCAACGTACGACGTGGCCTGATTACAAAACATATTCTACATGGAACTCACCTCTACGAAATCGTGTCGAGTAATTGCTGTTGGATCTACGTGATGCTCACGAAATGGTCGGATGAACATCTAAATTTGAAATCACTACACAAAGATACAATTCTTGCATCTGCTCACTATACTTTCTTTTCTTTGCCCTTCCTCCTATGTTGTCGTTTTTTCGTTTATTTTCCTTGGAAAGAATGATGAACGAAGAAGGGATCTTAATCACGAAATGACTTCAGAAGGATGTCTATGTCTAGTCCTGATCAAAACCGAACTGCAATTAGAAGGACGAAAATGGAGATGAGCCTTCGGCAATAATCAAGCTCTTCCTGGGGTATGCCATACATTTGGTTCCCACTGAACTTCTTAATGGCATTTAACGGCAATTTTTCCTCCACACAATCTGTTGCAAAAGTCGCATGGTAAAAAACATGTCTATGTTTTTGTTCATTTGCCCTGCCATACTCGCAGGGTGCCTACTGTAAGGCAGCTGTCAGACTTGTAGCGATACAGTTGTAGCGCGACGTAGCGATACAGTTGTAGCGCGACGTAGCGCTACATCTGTAGCGCTACAATTGTACACAACAATTAAGTTCTGAATTTTTATAACTTTTTTCGACGTCGTTTTTTCACATTCAATCTTCACAAAACGAAAAATAGTCATGCATTTACACACTAGCACACGCCTCTGACCACGCCCACTTTCGTTTTTTGCGGAATTTTGATTATTCTTCCGAATTTTCACTTTTTCAGGCTGTTGGCGGCCCCGCCCACTAATGGAAGCTCCGCCCACTTTGTAGAAGCCCCCACTTTTCAAAAATGATGCAGATCGGCGAGCTAGTGACCGTACTAGCAGGTTATGGCCTCTCCCGTCACCCGGAACAAAGTTTCCCTTTTTCTGGTCTTTCCCTTTTTTCATTCTATGTGACGGGAGAGGCCATAACCTGCTAGTACGGTCACTAGCTCGCCGATCTGCATCATTTTCGAAAAGTGGGCGGGGCTTCTACAAAGTGGGCGGAGCTTCCATTAGTGGGCGGGGCCGCTTGTCACAGCCTAAAAAGTGAAAATTCGGAAGAAAAATCAAAATTCCGCGAAAAACGAAAGTGGGCGTGGCCAGAGGAGC